AAAATGATTTTTAACAAATCAGGTTACCTTTGAGGAGAGAGGGAGTGGTGGGAAAGGGGGTGCACAAGGAGAAGAGGACCCTGGGGTGCTAAGTTTAATTCTGAGACCATCACTGAGCTAGACACGGATGACGTGTATAATTCCCGTCTGTGATGCTGTTGGCGACTGTCCGTACAGGATTCCTAGACAGTGGGCTTCACAAGACGCACCGCCCGTCTTTCTCCCTCAGAACACTGGGTGGACCGGTCAGTGCTTCTCGGTGTGTGCCACCAGCTGTACATCCAAAAGGCTAGAACACAGACGCATCGTCTGCATTTCGTCTTGTGCTTTAAGTGCTGCTACTCAAGGGGTGTTTCATTTGATGTCATATCAATGTCTTCTCAATGCTACGTAATTTGCTAGATTGGTTGTGTTATTTTCATTTTCTCTTTCCACATTCTAGTTTAACTCACGGGCAATCTTCATATTCTCCAACAAGAATTGCAAAAAAAATATTAAAACTAAAAAAAAAAATCACACGTAGATCCAGGTTACTATATTGCATCAACTCTGACTCCAGTGATTGTAAAATACACCACTTATTTTATGTACCAAGAAGAAAAAATTGCCCATTTATAATTATAAAGCTCCATCAATTTCGGGGATATTAAAATGTTTTTAAAGAAATATTGCATTTTAAAATAAATGACATATGAAACTTAATTAAAATTTTATAATTAGTTATCTGTTCTGTCTGACAGATTTAATCTTAATTAAATCCAGAATTAACATTCTGTAAAGAAAAGAAGCTAGTGTCATGGTCATAGCACTAGCCTCAAGATCACATTGTGGTTTTTTTCACGAACACGTTATAATTAAAAGAGAAAAAATTGATCAATGAGAAAAATAGTACTTATGGTGCCCTAAAGTATTTGAGGATTAAAAAATACTTACTTAGTTTTTACTGATAGTTATTAAAAAACTATCAGTTCACACCAATTTCTTACTAACCTAGCTTACTAGAAAATCTAGACTACAGATGTCAACTCAACTGAGTGACTACAATGCTAGGTACACAGAGATGTGGTTAAGTAAGTGCATACAAGTGTTAGTTCAACAATTCCCAAGAGAATGAAGGAATTCTGGTATCAGACAAAGGTGTGCCCTCAGCCGTGCACGTGGGAAAGTCAGGGAGCACGCGGCGGAACACACGCTGCTTCAAGCAATGACCGGCGAGCACTCACGAATGCACAGACGCAGGGGCATCGTCTCTATGGAACGTCCCTTCACTCCCAATCTGCTCCCTCCGTTTCCCAGCTCTGTCTTTATATTTTGGATTCTTCAATGCCTTTTCATCTTCGTA